CAGCTCAAAAAAAATTTACATACGCTCCTGGGTCGTCGCCCACACGTTTACTATCCTGTATGTAAATTACCCCCTTACGTAAAATTCTTCGCCTTACTACACTGAAGTGCCTACTTCGTTTTTCGATCTTAAAATACCGTCTCAGTTTGGTGGGCATTTTGCCTTTGCTCCACCTTCAGACAGTATGTGAATTACACAACAAAAAAAAAAAAAAAAAAAAAAAAAGGGAAAAAAATCACAGTCAGCAGTGTTATTTTCCGTTCATCTTTTATGTACTAGGCAACTGTGGTAGCCATAAGCTCTGCCTCACTGATCTCACAGTTCAGTCAATAGTGTCCACTTCACATTAATATCAACCTTTCCAGCATCCTTGGGGATTCCCTGAGGAATAATACCTGGTCCCCCAATACTTGACTCGAGGTATATCCATGGAAAGTTTCATATTACCTTGTAATTTTATTTTTCCACGAACTTTTATTATTTTTTTTTTGGCGGCTGGCCAGTAGGGGGATCCGAACCCGTGACCTTCGTGTTAGGTTATCCACGAACTTTTTGAAGTTCCTGCATACACACTGGCATATATATCAAGCTGCCAGAGGCGCTGGTACTTGAAGTGTTACTTCGCACCAGTAATTTCCAAGAAAAAGCCAAAGCAAAAATCCGCAGCCGAGGAAGCAATATATAACTCCCATTCCAAATGGCCGCCAGCGCCTTGAGAGGACCGCACCACGGCCATCCCAGGAAGTGACGTCACGCAAGCTTCCGGTTCCGCCGGTTCCGCCAGTTCCGCCTGTGCCACTGCACCGGCCCATCTCGCGAGACCGTGCGGTGCACGTGCATTCACCTGGTTTGAGTTGCGGGATCGATGGAGGCTTTGGATCGAGTTGTGTAAGTGGGCTGGGTCCCGGCTCCGGGGAACGGTGCGGAGAGGGGCTCCTGTGACGAGAGTGATATTACCTCTGCCTCCGTCTCTTAACTGACGCTCTTTGCCAGTCGTGCCTGGGTGAGGGCGGATCGATTCACCAGCCGGTCTTCCTCCCCTTGTGCAGCAGCCTGCCGGGAGACGGAGAGCCGGGAACCCCCAACTGGGAGCCGGGGGATGGGAGGTGGAACATTGGCCGCTTTTGTTCTACCCAGTTAAAAAACATGTGGCTTCTGGAGTGTGGTGGAGGTGGTAGAGTGACGGGTTAAGAACCCTGGCCTTGGAATCTGACAGATGTAGATGACAATCCGGCCGCGTCCAGTTAAAGCTTTGTGAGTTAGGGCCGTTAAATCTCTCTAAATCTCAGTTTACTCTGTAAAGTAGCTACTGTAGTAGTCGTACTTCATAGAGTTGGGAGGGTTAGTTGCGAGAATGTACTTATCGCCTTCGCTACAGCACGTAGAAATGTTCACTAGATTCCTCCCCTTCCAACTTTGTACATGTCTCTGAGTTATCCTTGAGCGATGTCTGTTTTGAATTCGTTCAAAAAAATACTTATAGAGCGCCTAAATAGTACTGTTGTTATTTGCTGTGGTTTTCTTACGAGTTACCGAGGTTAACGTGTAATCAAAACGACAGTTTCTTTTTAGTCTCTTTAATTAAGAGATTTTTGCACCCCCGCTATACTTCTAGCTGTTTGGGACTACAAGGATAAGTAAAACTAGTTTCTAACTGGGGGACATACACCTAATAAAACACGTAAGGTGCTGTTTGCATTTGTTGCTGGTTAATGAGAAATAACAAACCACATGTAATATAGAGAGCATGGCAGTTATTGCCATACACACATACTACATCTCTTGATTTGACAAATAATGCATATCTTTATCACGGAGTAAATGATTAGAAGCTTTATATGTGATATTTTAACTGGAAGAGAATTTTAAAAATCCACATGGGAAACTAGAGTGTATGCATATTCTGTTTTTCTTTTCCTTCTTGAAGTGTGCATAGAACTGGAAGACGGAGGGTCATGGTTATTTGAGAGAGGAGGAATTCTTTCAATAGAGGGCAGAAAACTGAAAAGCGGGGATGTTCACTGCAGAGGAGGCAGAAGTGAAGCCCTTTTTCTGAACAGAAATGTATAAAAACATGCTACTCCTGCTGTCACATTAAAATATCAGAAAAATGAATTTGTTTTCCCTTCATATTTTCCAGGGTTATTGGTCTAGTTGATTATTTAAATCTAGCTCATTTTGAAGATTGACCTCCTTACTAGCTATGTGCCCTGGGGCCAAATACCTCTGTGGTCTTAGTTGCCTCAACTGTAAAGTGAAAATAATATTAACCTAAACAACAAGAGAGAGGCTCTCTAAAAGAGTGAGTTAAGTTGGGAATAGAACATTGCAATGAGAATACGCATGCCGTACTAAACTATGTGTGTATTCACGGAGGTAAAGGAAGACAAAGGGTTTTAGAGGAAAAATGATGGAAGATTACATAATTGTTTGTGGGTAATTATCCTTGGGTACAAAGATCAATAAGAAGGGTAATACCAGTCCAAGGTTGGACAGACAGTTGCTGGGCAAATGTTCTCACAGAAGTATTTTTTTGTGTCAGGTTGCAATGACTTTTGTGCAAAATTGTGGTTTTGCAGAGACCTTTGTGGTAGTTCTTATCAGGCATTCGTGCATGAGAACTCCCCACTTCATGGCCTTTCCCTGGCTCTATTTGTCAGGGTTTTTTTGTTTGTTTTTGTTTTTTAACACAAACAACTCTATTTTTGATTTTGAAAACGTTCACAATAATAATTGTATATTTCTCATAGTGTCGTGGTGAAGATTAAGCCTTATTAGAGTGACTGTACAAAAGAGTCAACTGTTGTTATTCCCTTTTGGTGGCAATAATGTTAACTTTCTCAGCAATGATGTTGGAATGGGACAGTATATACTTCCTGGCGGGCATTGTGATCTTAAACCCGGAAGAAAGATAAGCAATAATTAGCTTTCCTATGTTTAGGAAATACCCACAGGTTTACCAGCAGTTGATGTGCAGTTCTTTGTGTTAGGGTATGGGGTACAGTTTGACTGTTTTATTTGAAGAAAGAATAATGAAAAAATAGCAACAGTGTTCCCTTAAGTCCTTTAATTTTTAATTTAAAAAAAAAAAAGGTTTAGAAAAAAGCAGTAAAAAAGAATGCTGGGAACATAAAAAGTGAAATCAATTTTAAAAACCCAAAAGCTAATAAAACACATATTTAACAGTAATAATGGAATATCTTTTACTGTTATCTCCCTAAAAAGTGAGATTTTGTTTAATGGTGGAATCCTAACTAATAAATATGTTAATATAATGTCTTCGTTGATTTTTAAGAATTTGCACATTAGTCAAGGCATGGTTTTACAATATGAGGAAAATGTTTAAATTGTTATGAATTGTGGTTTTTGGAATAGAAAGCCCAAAACAAAAAGGGCGAAGAGATTCCTTGAGAAGAGAGAACCGAAACTCAGTGAAAATATTAAAAATGCCATGCTGATTAAAGGGGGAAATGCAAATGCAACAGTGACACAAGCACTTAGAGATGTGGTATGTATATATACTTACTTTTTAAATACTATTGAAATCGTTTTAGAAATTTTCATTATGTTGGGCTGCTGGAGAAATATGTAAGTTTGCCTTGCTTTAAGAACTACCAGCCTCAGAGAAGAACTAAAGTTAGAGGTTATTTGCCTTGCCAAGACCCTGACTACTGAGTTTTCTTAAAGCAACTTTAGTAAGTTTAAACTGGTTTCAATTAGTAGAATTTTGTTTACTCACATTTTAGGAGGATGTCTAGTTTGTAAAGTGAATTAACTGTATATTATTGTATATTTACTCACTCAGTAACACCAGTTACTATGCTTGGTCCTGGGAATTAATAGTTAGATAGTTCACAGTCCCTCCCTTCAATAAGCTTAGTGAGAGAAACACATAAAAAATTATACCATATGGGTTATGTGCCTTGCTGGAGGCATGCACAGGGTAGGGTGGGAGACAGTTAAAATCACATAGGGGGACCCACACGAAGGGTGGGCTTCCCAGAGATAACATTTAAGCTTCATTTTTTTTTTTTTTTTTTTTTTTGTCTTTTTCGTGACCGGTAAGGGGATTGCAACCCTTGGTGTGGTGTCGCCCACATCGCGCTCAGCCAGTGAGCGCACCGGCCATACCTATATAGGATCCGAACCGCAGCGGGAGCGTCGCTGCGCTCCCAGCGCCGCACTCTCCCGAGTGCGCCACGGGCTCGGCCCTAAGCTTCATTTTGAAGGAGGAGTTCAAGCAAGAAGGGTGGAGAGGAAGAGAAGGGCTTTGAGGCTGAGGAAGGAACATGATGTATTTGGAGAACTGCAGATAATTGGGGATGGCCAAAGGAGAGTGGGCTGGATGAGGCTAGAAGAGGAGGCAGGGATCTTATAGTAACATGGAGTTTGAGTTTTATTCTGAAAGCTCTGTGGAGTCATTGAAAGATTTTAAGTGAAAGATATGATCAATCCTTTTAATTGGTTTGATTAGAGAGGGTTGTGAGCAAGTGTAGGAAACTAATTAAACCATTGCTGTCAGCTAGATAAAAAGCATTTGGAGTCCAGCGATGGCAATGAAAATGAGAGATGATCAGAAAGAATAGATGTTGAGCATAGAAAAAAGTTTGGGCATTGATGAGAAGTACGGCTTCCCAGGTTTCTGGCCTGAGTGCCTGATGGGCAATTATGCCATTTAGAGAAGGTGTCAAGTGGAGCAGGTTTGGAGGGAAAGGTAATATGTTTAGTTTGGGACATATAATTTAAGTAATAAAGGTAAAAGATCTGTGTTTTTTTTACCTCTATAGCCTGGGGTTTAGCCCAGTGTCTGGACATAATAGGTGCTTAATAAATGTTTAATCAATGAATGAGAGACATTCTGTGGAGATATCTAATAGGTAGTTGGTTAGGCCTTGAATACAGCTGATAGATTCTTTTAGTTAAATCAAGTAATTGAATACATTTTTAAACTTGATTAAACTCCGTATGCTTGTTAAATGTGATAGTCAATTCAGATATCTTAATGCCTAATATATATTCCTATCCTTTTTGAAAATTAATGTGTTGATGGGACACTTTCTCTCCTTCCAGTATCCCATTAACACACTGACCCTACATATGTAAGTATGCTCTAAGAGCAGCACAATATTGCAGATTATTACGGTAGCCAACATTCATAATTGTGACTGAGTTGTCATGTAAAGGTGGTAGGGAAACATTTGGCCAAGAACCATCAAAGTTTTAATGCTTAAAAAGATAGATTTTACTGGTGAATTTCTTTTGTTCACCAGCTCTGAAAATTGATGAGTGATTATTTCACCTTATTTTTCATTTTTTAAATCTTCTTTTCTTTTGGTGGCTGGCCTGTACTGGGATCCAAACCTGTTACTTTGGGGTTGTAAGGCTCTGCTGTAACCAACTGAGCTAACTGGCCAGCCCCCACCTTCTTTTCATTGTTTCCTTCATTTTCCCCTTTCTGTAATGCAAGGCAGAGCCTTAGATATTTGTTATAACCTATTGTAGAGCAGTACTAGCCATTTAGGTAATAAGTGATTATTGGTGGATAGATGGAAAGAAGTAGGAAAAAATAAAAGAGTTGAATAGGAATTTTTTAAAGGGCTATTTAAATTCTGGCTAGTATGCTGATTGTTTTCATTGTAACTGTTTCTTGAGTTCTCTTATCTCCATACAACATTATTTAAATTCTATGAGTCATTCCTAATAGGATTTATTTTTTCTGCTCTCTTCTGCTCTTTTCTTTCTACTCATTGTTTGTCTGGAGAGAACAGACTAGGTGGAGTTTAAAGGAATAAGGTTATTGGGTAAGTTGTATAGACTATTGAAAGGGCATATAAACCTTTAATTGGGAGAGTCCAGTCTAAGTTAGAATATTAAGCTTATGTTGTAATTTATTGTAAGTGATCCAAAGGGGACCAAACAGAAGACATCAGAACAAGATTCAGGGACTAGAGAAATCTTGTAGAATGACTGTTACGATGCTTTGTTTTTATCTATGAGTTTCGGAATGTGTTTTGTTTTGAAAGCTATAAATTATGTTTTACAGTATGCACTGAAAAAACCATATGGCGTTCTGTATAAAAAGTAAGTCATGATTTTTTTTTTACTTTAAGTTACTTTGTTACATTATAAAGGTAGCAACCACTTTATGGAAGATTTGGAAAAGAATTTTTTTCTTAAAAAAACAAAGGCACTACAGTTTTTTTCATACGTTTATTAGTATTTTAGTTTCTTTCTGGTCAGATTTTTCACTGTTACTGAATGTTCTTGCATAGCTGTAACCATAGCATATATATTGTATTTTGAAATAATTATAGAAAAGTTGCAAAAATAATACAAAGTTCCCATATGCTCTTCACCCAGCTTCCCCTAATGTTACATTTAGTATAACCATAGTGCATTTATCAAAATTAAGAAATTAACCTTGGTTTGATAATGTTAACTAAATTACAGACTTACTTGGTTGGCACCGGTTTTTCCTCTAATACTCTTTTGCTCTTCCAGGATCCCACATTGCATTTAGTTGTCAGGTCTCCTTAGTCTTCTCCAGTTTGTGACAGTTCCTCCATCTTTCCTTGTCTTTGATGACCTTGACACTTTTGATGAGTACTTGTTATTTTGTAAATTATGCCTCAGTTTGAGTTTGTCTTGTTTTCTCATGAACAGATTGAGGTGGTGTAGTTTTGTCAAGAACACAAAAAAGTGATGTGCTTTTCTCAGTAAATAATACCAGTAATAATTGTTGTCAATGTATCTTGTACTAGTAGTGCTAACCTTGGTTAAAGTGGTGTCTGCTGTGTTTCTTCACTATAAATTTACTGTTTTTTCCTTTGTAGTTAATAAATATTTGGAGGAGATATGTTGAGACTATGCACATATTCTTTTTCCTCAAACTTTTGCTCATTTTAGCATCTGTTGGTGGATCTTGCCTACAGTGGTGATTACTGTGGTGCTCTAATGGTGGTTTTCTATTTCCCTCATTCCTTCTACATATTATTTTTCATTCTTCCTTCTTTCTTCTTCTTTTTTTTTTATTTTTTTATTTTTTGGCGGCTGGCCTTTTCAGGGATCTAAACCCATGACCTTGGTATTAGCACCATGCTCTAATTAAGTGCTTCTTTCTTCTTCTTTTTTTTTTATTTTTTTATTTTTTGGCTGCTGGCCTTTTCAGGGATCTAAACCCATGACCTTGGTATTAGCACCATGCTCTAATTAAGTGAGCTAACTGGCTGGCCCTCCTTCTACATATATTAATTGGAGTTCCAAAGGCAAATCTGTCCCTTCTCTACTTGTTTAATTATCACTTTGGACTCAGGAATATTTATTATATTCTTCAGGGTTATAATCCAATACTATCATTATTTATTTTGTTGTTTAAATTGTTCTACCTTCAGCCATTGAGAACTCTTTCAGGTTGGTTCCTGTGCCCTTTTGATATGTCCCTGTTTTTGAGCACTTCCTTACTTTCTGACACCACAAGATGCTCCAGGATCATCTTGGATTTTCCCTCGCCAAAGCCCTAGAATGAAATACTCCATGTAGCCCTGATTCCTTATATTGCAAATTGATATTTAGAAACCAAGATCTGGATGCTAAGTGTGCTCAATTGGAGGGTCATAGCCTCTAAGTCCTCTTGGCAGACAAAACTTGAAAATACATATTATGTGTACTAAACTGTTCGTAGATATACATCTATATTTGTTTATATGTCTCTCTCTAAATATTTTAAAACCCTAAGTTCATACTGATATTTCCAAAAACATCATGAATTCATACTAACATTCCTTTTTTTTTTTTTTGTCTTTTTTTGTCTTTTTCCGTGTCCGGCAACGGATTGCAACCCTCAGTGTTGCCCCCGTACCGGACTGGGGACCGGCAACGGGATCGCAACCCTCGGTGCCGCTCCCGCGCCTCGCTCAGCCAGTGAGCGGGCACCGGTCCACATGTGGGATCCGAACCCTCGGGCGGGAGCGCCGCCGCGCTTCCCAGGCGGCGCACTATCAAGTGCGCCACCGGGCCGGCCCCATATACTAACATTTCTGATTCCAATCCATTACCACAGACTTCATTTCAGCCTTTTTGCTTTCCTCCTTTGTAACTTCTTTCTTTTGACAGTCAGAAACCTGGCTCTCATTATCTATAATATATTTATTTATTTGTATAGTTCTAGTATGTACATAGTTTTAAAATTTCTAACCCTGTAAGAAGCAAATTTTACTAATTGTACAGAATTTGTGTACAGTTCTTTTTGTCTTTAGCCTTATAGTATTCAGTCAAAATACTATTTTTCAATGCAACTTAGGTTAGTTTTTTTCTTTTCTCAGCCCCTTCAATGTGGTTGTTATTCATTTATACTACAGTTAGGGTCATTTGTTACAGTTTATATTCTATTTGAGTTTTCCCACATATCCTGGTGGTGGTTGTTTTGTTGTTGTTTAAACTTATATATGTTAAATTTACTGTTTGTGGTATATAATTTCATGGATTTGGGCAAATGCATAGGGTTGTGTTTGCCCCTACGATCATGATACAGAATGGTTGCATCACCCTAAAAATTTCCTCATGTAGTTCTCCTTTGTAGTCAACCCCTCCCCCTGTTCTCTACCCCTGGTAACCAATGATTTGTTTTCCATACCTATAGAATTTCCTTTCCTACAGTGTCACATAAATTGAATCATACAACATATAGCCTCTGGAGTCTAGCATCTTTCATTTAGCAAAATGCATTTAAGATACATACATGTTGTTGTCTTGTATACAGTTTTATATAATCCTTTTTCCTTTTATATCATAAGTATTTTGCTATTGATAGGTGGTCCTTTAAAAGTGTCTTTTTTTTTTTTTTACTGAGTTTTAAGAGTTATTCATATATTCTGGATATAAATCTCTTATCAGATATATGATTTACAAATATTTTCTCCCATTCTGTGGGCTGTCTTTTCACTTGCTTGATGATGTCCTTTGGAGCACAAAAGTTTTTTTTTTTTTTTGTCTTTTTCGTGACCAGTAAGGGAATTGCAACCCTTGGCTTGGTGTCATCCGCACCACGCTCAGC